TCAAAGATTCCTCTAGACCAAAACCCTGCAATGCAGGAATCGCAGCTAGAGAATGCTTGGCAGAGGAACATCCAACCTCTGCTTAAGTATCTCCGATGAAGGAGAGTCCACCATCTTCTAAGAAGAACTTTCTGACAGTCAACAATGTTCAACAGTGGAATAGACTTCCACGGGAGGTGGTGGACTTTCCTTCATTGGAGATATTTAAGCAAAGGCTAGATGGCCATCTGTCATAGATCCTTTAGTACTTCCTGTATCACCTGGGAAGACAGGCAAACTAATGCCAGTGTACAGGAAGAAGCAAAGATCAGCAGTGTCGAAGCAATGATTCTTCAACTTCAACTTTGTTGGACTGGTCATGTTGTTCAGATGCCTGATTATCATATACTCTATTCCAAACTTAAAAATGGAAAGCGTAATGCCGGTGGTCAACAAGAGGTTTAAAGACTCTCTCAAGGCAAAACTTTAAAAATGTAGTATAAACACCAACACCTGGGAAACACCGGCCTGCGAGTGCTCCAATTGGAAAACAGCTTTTACCAAAGGTGTCATGGGCTTTGAAGATGCTCAAACTCAGGACGAAAGGGAGAAACATGCTAAGAGGAAGGCACGCTTGGCAAACCCTCACTGTGATCGACTCCTGTCCGGAAACCTATGTCCCACTGTGGAAGGACATGTGGATCCAGAATTGGCCTCCACAGTCACTTACGGAAGACAATCTTACTCGGCTATGAGTGATCGCCGAAGAAGAAGAGGAAGAAGAAGAAGAAAAGGAAGAAGAGGAGGAGGAGGAGGAAGAGGAGTACTTTCTGTGTCAACTTTTAAACACCTGCTGCCAGGACTATAAAAACAATTAAGAATACATCCTTCCACAATGATTAATTGACATCAGTTTTTAACTTTTTATGGTTTTATGTTTGTTGCAACCCTGTTTGACTGATTTTTTTTACATTACAGCACACAATTTTTTAAAAACATAAATATTTCTATTACACCCATTTTACAGGTAAAGGCATCAAGGCCAGGAGGGAGCTCATCACACAATGACTCCGTGTCCAGTACTCTGTACATGGATCCTGGAAAAAAGAGCCAGTGGGCCAAGCATGTGGTCTGTAAGGTTGGGTTTCTAACTTGTTCTCCTGGAAAGATTCCTGTGCATTTAATAACTGCATGGTGAGCAGGTAAACCCTCTCCCCTTGAGCATCTGTTACACAGGTGTTACAGGCATAAAGAGTCCTACTTGAGGACGGGGATGGGAGGGAGTTGGGTAGAAAGATCTTTATCTTCCCCTTGCTTCACCCCCACCTCCTTAATCATTTCCCTGAACTCAGGTGCATTCCCAAATCTGGAGACTCCGGCAGGGACGTGTTTTGGTGCCACCTCCGAAGCCACAAGCCTCAAGGAAGAGAGATCTCTGGGCTTCCGGATGAAAAAGAAGTCTGTCTGGTGGAGATAACCATATTCCCTGCTGGGGGTGAGCAATCGGCTCAGGATGGGGGACAAGAGTTATCAGTCGCAGCCAGAACATCTGGCCGATCAGAGGCTCTGCCAGGCTGTGGCGTCGTCGGAAGATCTCGAGGAAGGGAGCCAAAATCAAGGTGGAACAGGATGAAAGGAGGAAGGGTGGATTTGTGAGGGGCTTCAGAAAACTGAGCAGAAGTTGAATGCAGCAATCAAACAAAGATAAAGGGGTAGCTGTGCAAAGGGTGAGATGAAGAATGAGGAAGAACCCATCTGACTGCAAATGTGGGTGCAGGGCATGGTCCAAAGATGTATGATGCAGCCACTTTGCTGAAGGAAAGCAGCTCAGAGTGACTCAGGTAGGGAAGAAACTGGATTCAGTTCACATGTATAGGCGAACCAGCCTCATCTGCAGTTTCCGTAACAATATGCAAACTGAAACACAGAACCACCCTTCAGATGTACCCTTCCCAGTATGTTTCTGAGCACAATTCAAAGTGTTGGTGCTGACCTTTAAAGCCCTAAACGGCCTCGGCCCAGTATACCTGAAGGAGCGTCTCCACCCCCATCGTTCAGCCCAGACACTGAGGTCCAGCTCCGAGGGCCTTCTGGCAGTTCCCTCACTGCGAGAAGTGAGGTTACAGGGAACCAGACAGAGGGCCTTCTCGGCAGTGGCACCTGCCCTGTGGAACGCCCTCCCAGCAGATGTCAAGAAATAAACAACTATCTGACATTTAGAAAACATCTGAAGGCAGTCTTGTTTAGGGAAGTTTTTAATGTTTGATGGTTATTGTGCTTTTAATTCTGTTGGGAGCCACCCAGAGTGGCTGGGGAGGCCCAGCCAGGTGGGCGGGGTATAAACTATTATTGTTGTTGTTGTTGTTGTTACACGCCTCTCCTAATTTTGCAGCGCTGTGCTCCAATCAAGGAATGTGAACGAGAACATTCTGAAGCCAAGTGTGGATGTAAATGCCCATGTTAGTGAAAATAAATGTGCAAAGATGCTTTGCAAAATGCATATGAGGTGAAATTGCATGCAAGGATGAGTGTATCAGGAGAAATTTGCACTAAAATGTTGGAGAATTTTCATGAGGACAAAAAAGGAAAAAAGCATACTGATCTCTGGAAAAATGAGAAGCTGAAATTTAACCCATCCCTAGCTGAGTCTGCTCAGTTTGTGCATGGGAGACCACTTGGGAACTATTCAGTCTCCTGCTTCCTTGAGGTATACCAGGACAGAAATGCAGGATCGAAATGTAACAAATAAATAAGAGAAGTGGGAGAAGCCCAAAATAATGTCGAAAAGCACTGTATTAATATCATCATTATCTTCATCAATAATATTTATACACTTAATATGCAAAACTCCTAAGCGGTTTACATAAAACACAGTAAGATAATTTTAAAGGGGGAAAGGAAAATGTGTACACAACATTTGGAACACAAAACACAAAGAAATATAGTGAAAACAGAGAGGCCATCCATAGAACATTCAGTTACGTATCAATAAATAATCAAACAGAATAATGGGATGAATCTCATGCAGCCCTCCAGAGCTTTTGATACAATGCCTTCTTGCAATCCCTACAACCATCATCTGAGGGAGGCGGATATTATGATTATTTTCCCCATTTTGCAGACAGCGTAAGGAGCTAAGGCTGAGTGAAAGAGGCTTGTCAGAGGCCACATGTCGGAGGCAAGAACTGAAGCAGGGCTGCTATCAGGCCTGGGCAGCAGTGCCAACACTCAGGCATTATGAAGGACATTATTATTATTATTATTATTATTATTATTATTATTCTAATCACAATTCCAAAGTACTGTTGTAGCTATCTTTTAAATGATCTCCAATCAAATAGCATTCAAACAACTTCACAGAAGAGCACAAATGTCAAGAGACCAAATCTATCAAACCATTTAATCATCTGTTTTGCCTGGCTGGTAAATCCCAACCTTAATTTTGATGTGATTTCACCTTTTCTACCAACCAAATAATAGGAACAGGGAAGGGGGAGCTTGAACAGATTAATTAATCTTTCTTTTTTCCTCTTTCCCCCTTTTGGGATGTTTTTCTTACTTTCTCCTTCTTCCTTGAGTTTCGGGCAAGAGTTAAGCAACTCGAGAGTTTACGTTCGAGTTAATTTTGCCGATAGAATTGACGCACAAAAACCGTGTACGTGCCAACCTGATACTTAGTAAATAAACAAGTAAGTAAACAAATAAGCAAGTCACCAACTTGGATGTCTTTAAAGAGGATTAGGCAAATTCGTGGAGGAAAGGGATATTGATGGCTACTATCCCTGATGGCTATTATTTGCCTCCCTGGTGAGAGGCAGCAATGCTTCTGAATTCCAGTTGCTGGAAACCACAGAAGGGGAGTGTGTTCTTGTTGGTGGGCATCTTGTGGGAGGGAGTTCCATGGTTTAACTATGCGCTGTGCGCAGAAATACTTTCATTTGTCCTTCTAGCCACCATCGTGGCTAGAAGGTGTTGGTACCCTCCTTATCCTCCATGAATTTGCCTCATCCAAATGAGCGGCTCTCACCATAATCATGTGGGAGCGAGTTCCACGGTTTAATTCTGCAGAATTGCGTGAAGAAGGGCTTTCTATGCCCTGCCTTTACAGACCAGGACCCCCACCCACCCAGGCGAGGCCTTCTAACGCCCGAAACGATTGGTTTGCCGAGCAGGTAAACACCTTTCCTCCCTGTTCGGGAAAGTCTTTTGATTTCTGTACATTCTCGTCTCCAGCTTTCTTTCATGTTTCCTCTTGGATTGTAAGCCTGCAGGCAGAGTCCTTTGTCTGCCTCACCTACTTTGTACAGTAGTGAGTGGTTTTAGGTGCTGGATGAATAATCGACGAGAGCCCTGCAGCCAAAAAGACCTTACAAAGGGTGAGTTCAGGTCGCCAGTTACCATTCAGGTCGGTGGATATCAGTTGCCGAAAACCACAGGAGGGGAAATGGCTCTTGTGCTTGAATTCTGCTTACTGCTACTGTTCAGCCCCTTTGAGAACAGGATGCTCGACTAGACGGGTCTTCCTCAGGTGTCCATCAATCTTGCTCCAGCCCCCCTCTGCTCCTAACTTCTTTACCTCTTTCTAGGCCTCTCTGCTTCCTCCCAAAAAGTTACTCCTGGCCCCCATAGGAAGTTGCCTTATGCCAAGGCAGACCTTTGCTACCTCTAGCTCAGGACTGCCAACACTGACTGCCAGCATCTCTCCAGGGTTTTAGGCAAGGGATATTCCCTGTCCTACCTGGAGACTGGACTTGGGACCTTTGCAAAGCAAAATTCCTACCATTGACCAACAACCCTTCTCTCCTAACAGTAGAAGCCGTCCAAGACCCTTGGTCCATTTAGCCCAGCACTGCCTGCACTGACTGGCAGCAGCAGTTCTCCAGGGTTTTGTATGAGGAACGTTCCCTATCCTATCTCGAGACTGAACAGAGATCTTGCTCTGCCACTGAGCTATGAGCCTCCTTTTCTTTTTAGGATTATAGACCTTATGGTTCTGAATAAAGAATTACTTTGGAATAAAACGCTCTGGGATAGCACAGTCGGTAGAGCACGAGGCTCTTAATCTTAGGGTTGTGGGTTTAAGCCGCACACTGGGTGGAAAGATTCCTGCATTTGCAGGGAGGTGGACTTGATGACTCTTCTGATGGACTTGATGACTCTTCTGGTCCCTTCAAACTCTACAGTTCTATGAGAAGAAGCTGCCTTGTACAACTGGTACCTCTAGCTCAATATTGTCTCCACTAACTGAGTCTGATTTCAAACAGGGCTCTTTCCCAGTATACCTGAAGGAGCATCTCCACCCCCATCATTCTGCCCGGACGTGAAGGTCCAGCACTGAGGGCCTTCTGGCGGTTCCCTCATTGCGAGAAGCAAAGCTACAGGGAACCAGGCAGAGGGCCTTTTCGGTAGTGGCGCCCGCCCTGTGGAAGGCCCTCCAATCAGATGTCAAAGAGATAAATAACTACCTGACATTTAGAAGACATCTGAAGGCAGCCCTAATCAGGGAAGTTTTTAATGTGTGACATTTTAGTGTATTTTGGGTCTGTTGGAAGCCGCCCAGAGTGGCTGGGGAAACCCAGCCAGATGGGTGGGGTACAAATAATATATTATTATTATTATTATTATTATTATTATTATTATTATTATTCCCCCCAGCTCTACCTGCAGATACCAGCGATTGAACCCAGGACTCTCTGCAAGAAAAAGCAGGTGCTCTCCCACTGAACTATGAATGCACTTGATGAAAACAGGAAGGTGCCTTCTACTGAGTCGGAAGACTGATTCATCTAGCTCAGAATACTCAACAGTGGCTGAGAATGGCTCTCCAAAGGTTTCAGGCAGGGGTGCTTCCTAGCTCTCGCCGAAGATCCTGGGGAAAGGACCTGGTACTTTCTACATGTGTAAGGTGGTTGTGGCATTTGCCCATTCTTTGGGGATACGTTTGTATTGGGGCAGAGAAAGGGTTAATAGGTGGACCAATAAGAAAGGCCGGGGGGGCAGAGCCTACCTGATTTTGAGGCTCAGCCCAGAGGTTTTGACAGTTAGTTCGGTTGGTTCTTTTTTTTTGGGGGGGGGGAGATAGAGGAGTCAGAGTGAGTTAGAGACAGGGACAAGACTGAGAGGGAACAGAGTGACAGCGTTTCGAATATATTTTAAAACTTGTTTGTGTTTGAAATAAACTTTAATCTTCATTGTTAACTCTAGCTGACTGAGACTCAATACTTCACCAGGGAATCCTGGGTTTTTTCCACAAAATTCGTGGCAGCGGAAAAATAAAGTAGTGGTGTACAGGTCAATAGTCTGTGAAACAACCGGGGGCTCTGTACGAACACCACAGTGGTAAATCCGAAGTTGCCCATGACCTCCATTCTAGGCTGGCTCGGCCATGTCCACAGATTGGGAGAGGGCAGGATCCCCAAAGAATAATAAATAATAATAATAAATTTTGATTTATACCCGACCCTTCCCGTTTCAAAAACTGGGCTCAGGGCAGCTAACAAAAAATTTAAAACACTTAATTATAAAATCAGAATAAAATGCGGTCTAAAAACATGAATAACAATAAAATTAAAAAATTTAAAAAATCAGTCAGTTAATCCCCAGGGCTAGCTGGCTGAATTGGTCCTACTTGGGCCAGCGAGGAGGCCAGGGGAGAATTTGCTGTGGGGTCTCAGAGCGGGTGATCTTCATAAAAATGGGGAGGGGAAGGGAATAGAAGGGAAATAAAAGATCAGGGTGAATTCAAATTAAACGCCAGGCAGAATAGCTCTGTTTTACAGGCCCAATGGAAGGAGGTTAAATCCTGAACGGCCCTAGTCTCATGGGGCAGAGCATTCCACCAGGTCAGAGGATGTGCTGTATGGGGGAACTGGCTTCAGGCACCAGGACTGCTGGCAGACCAAGTCGGTGTTACAAAGATGTCTGCAAACATGGCATGAAGGCTGGCAATGTCAATCCCAGCCATGTGGGAATCCCTTGCAGACGACTGCAGTGCCTGGAGACAGGCAGTCAGGTTGTGCATCCGCAGCAGTGACCAGAGGAGGAGCGCAGAGAGAAGGAACACTGTGGTGCATCTGCAGCAGCACAAGCAGACACTTTCGTCTGCCCCAGCTGCAACAAAACATGTCTCTCCCATGTCGGTCTCTACAGCCACAGCAGGCGCTGCAACCGCGCAGCGGTTTGACTTCACCCCCAAAAGCGTACTCCTCCATTGTCTCCCGAGACTGATGGATGCCAACCCATGGAGTGGTTGACAATGATGGGGCTGAAAGCATTTCTTGGGGAGTGGAAACTGGCTCCCCCCTCCCACGCCCAAGATAAAAGGCAAGATACAAGTTCTACAAATAAATGCTAACTAACATACTTCTTTCTAGGTTCAGGCAAGCCTCCGCAGAAATGTAATTTTAAAAACAACTACCACCAGTCTGCAAGACTCCAAAGAGGCGCAGCTGTAAACAATCAGAGATTAAAAGAACAAAGACAGAATGAATCCATTCTAAGAAAATCTCATTAAGATTAATCACTAGCATACAGACCAGTTCACAGGAGTTTATCCACACTAAACCATTATGCCTGTATCCTAAGCCACTTTTTAATTACTGCTGGATACGACAAGTTTATTTAAAACATTGCGAAACTGTAGCTCAGAGAATCATAGAAGCATAGAGCTGGAAGGGACCCTGAGGGTCATCTAGTCCAACCCCCAGCAATGCAGGAATCTCAACCAAAGCATCCATGACAGTCGCCCATGCAACCTCTGCTTAAAAACCTCCAAGGAAGGAGAGTCCACAACCTCCAGAGGGAGACCGTTCCACTGTCAAACAGCTCTGACTGTCAGAAAGTTCTTCCTGATGTTTAGACAAGAATCTCCTTTCTCGTTATTTGATGCCATTGGTTTGAGTCCTGTCCTCCAGAACAGGGGAAAACAAGCTTGCTCCAACTTCCATGTGGCAGCCCTTTAGATACTAGAAGATGGCTCTCCTATCTCCTCTCAGTCTCCTCTTTTCCAGGCCAAATATACCCAACACCCTCAACTGTCCCAAATAAATCCTGCCAATTTATCAATCTCCACTTCCCTTCTCAACATTTCATTCGGTATACATGTTTTTAAAACCACTAATTTTATCTATAGTCACTTGATTGCATTATGTCTGCTGTTTTGAAAGTGCTTTTGCTGCAGTTTTGAATGAATGCTTTTATGTAAACTGCTTAGAGGTTTTTTCTTTTTCTTTTTAATTAAGCAGAATATAAATCTTGCTAAATACAATAAGGACACAAGCACAAACCACTTAGGAACAGGAAAAGAAAAGGTTTAAATCAATTCAACAAGAATACAGGGCAATCAACTATTCAGTACGACTGCACCTTACATGGGGGGTCAGATACATGGGTTCTGTGCATACATGAAAGTCAGGTACACTCAAATCTTTAGAACTGCCCCGCATCTAGAAGGTAAAGAGGAGAGAAAGTTTCCCCAATGCTCCTAGAAACAAGGCAGAGAGCTTAAAAGTTCTTTCTGCACTGGGAAACCCCAGATGGACACTGAGCAAAAAGATCTTTTAAGCTCTTCACCTTGCTTGGATTGAACCCGTGCTACTTAAAGACAAAAAAACCCTGTTTATGTATGCTACAACTGCAGCCAGAATAATTCATGCTCAGAGATGGAAAGAAGACTCTGTCCCAAACAAGAAGGAGTGACAGATTAAATTATTGGACTATGCCGAAATGGCAAAACCTACTGGAACAATAAGAAACTGAAAGCGCAGAAATTGATTTTTCGGCCAGTTTGGGGGCATGAAACTCCGGGGATGTTAGGTATTTGACCATGTCATTTATATATAAGTTGAATAAGGCCGGGGCTAAAATACAGCCCTGCTTGACTCCTTTGGTGGCTGGTACAGGGCAAATTAGTTGCCCATTTACTGAGGTTCTTACATATAACTTGGAGTCTTTATAAAGGCTTTTTATCAAGAATAGTAATCTTTTGTCAATGCTGGTAGCATTGAGTTTAGCCCAAAGTTTGACTCGTGAGATCAAGTCAAAAGCCGCCTTCAGGTCAATAAAAGCTGCATATAGAATCCCACGTGTTTGGACTTCCGGGTTGGCGCCTCTGGCAATGGCGGATTTCCTCCGATCGGGAGGAACCCGCTCCGTGAAAAACAGAGTCTGAACCGCCACAGCGAGGCAGAGACCCATTAAAAACCACAGGCGGGAGAAGCCTGTGGACGTGGGATGCGGCTGGCACCTTTGTGCCTCCCCTACTCGCGGGGAAACCCTGTTTTGGGGATCCGGAGCAACGTGGGGTGAGTGGCGCGGTGCTTTGAATCGACTGCTTCTTTCACGGAGTGAAGCCGCATTGCAGTTGCCGGAGAGCGCTGACTTTTTCCTGTGGACAATTGGATTTTAAACAACTACTCGTGAGTAAAACGGAAAATTGGATTTTTAAATACTTCAATTTGGCAGGAAGGTTATAAACAGGAAGTCCGCCTCCCGTTTTTGTAAATAGACTGAAGCAAAGACGTTACAAGTAAAGCCTTTGAAAGCTTTTGGCAAAGGATCAAATTTCCACCGGTTTAAAGTTACAAAACCCCCTTAGGAAGCAGGAGAAGAGGGGGAAATTTTGGATCTAGTGAGCCTGCAGGAGAGAGTGAAAAAATCAAATTACCACTGCTCTGAACCTGGGAACGGGCTGCCAGATGACGTTTGGAGAGAGTGCTTTTGACAGAACGGATTTGACAGCTAGCTAAACAAGAGTAAGATACTGTTTCCATTGTCCCTTTCTGCGTTTAAAAAAAAGAGGAAAAGTAACTGAAATTTTATCTTTAATGTTTGAAATTGTGCTTGAAAGAACTGATACAAGTGGAGACTGTTTCCCTCTAGAGGGAGCTTTTGAAACTGTAACAGGACTGTAACTGGGGAATTTCCAGCTGCAGAAAAGGAGTTTAGGAACCAGAGAGCAACCTTGGACTATTTAAAAATGTTGATAGGAGAGGCCATTGTGACTGTTTTATGTAAGATAAGCTGTTTGCTGGGACAGCTTCACAAGAAGATGGATGATATGACTCTCAAAGTTGATAATTTGGAACAGAAAGTGACCAA